TGGAACAAAGCTGATATCGTCTTTTGCAGCACCACAGCTCTACAGACATTGTAAGTACTTCATTTTCCCACTGGTGGGAACTTTCATTTCACTTAATTCCCTGTTTCAGACCATCTCTCATATGCTATTATTTCACAGGGGAAAGTGGCTTGGCAACTTTACAGCTTCCCTTCATAGCAACCACATAGATTTGTTTTGCATACAGAAAACAGATGCTCATAATGTGAACCAAGAATGTGGATGGAGGACGATGTTAGCTATTTATTTTCTTCCCTTCTTGTGCGAAGCAGGAGCAAAGGAAGTTTTTTCCTCTGAAACCTGCAGAAATTTGCAGCAGAGTCCTTGCTGAATTATATTTTCTTCTACACATTCTTAGCATTTTGAAATCAATGGATGTAAAAAGAATATCTGTTGACCTTAAACCACTTTTGAGGAGGTGGGGAATAGACGCAGCATCAAGGTGCCCTTAAAGAAGACAATGCTGGAATTTAGAAGATGGTGGTGGAGATGCAGAAAATAACTTAAGAGGCAGGGAAGACAGCAGTGAGCTGAGAAACCCATGGGAAATAGTTGTTGAAAGCATAGTAATATTACAGGAAGGTGGCAGAAGGGAATGTAGGGTTGGGAGAGGGAGTGGCTGAGTTGGAGAAGGCTGTTGAAAGAACTAGGGAAAGCAGTGGTAGAATGCAGAATCCCAGCAGGAGGACTGAAGAGGGAAGGTTGAAGATCCCAACAGGGAAAGTGGAAGAATCCCAGCATAAAGGCTAGGGTAGATGAGTGGAGGTTTTGGAAACCTCACCAGGGTAGATTAGGGAATCCTGTTAAAGAAAAGCCAGATAAAATAGTCAAGGAAGTAGAAAGAAATCATTTCATACACACATAGTCACATACAGAAAAGGGGCATTCTTAATATGTTCTAATTGCATATAATTATCATGACAACTAACAGTAGTGCCCTGGACATTCCTACAAAATTATAAATACCTAGAGCACAAATAAGTTGGAGATCCCTTTTTTAAGAGAATATTTTTACACTATGCTCACTTTCTCCACATGGTCACAAATGAATGTACAGATACAAATCCTGCCTGCTCTCCTCCAGATGCACTGAACATGGGAGCTTTCCAGTATAGGGGACAGCAGCATATCTGTAAAAATCACAAAACAGTATTGCGGTTAATATCCAGGAAAAGGCATTATTTTTCTCTCAAGACATTTTAATACAGCATATTGGAAAATAAAACCCAGGCAAACTATATACAATGCTTTATATAGTTGAGTTCAATCTCATAGACTTATTACTTAAATTATGGCTTTATTATTAGAACTATTACTTAAACAATAGTTCTTGCTACTGTGTAAATCTTTCATATCTGAAACAATTTTAAGGCTTTAATCTCATTAATCATGCAATATAAGTTGCTTCAAATGCATTTTACCAGTAGTCCCTGGGTTAAGAATGTCCTGTTTAAGGACGACCCATAGTTAAGAATGGAGCCTACAATAGCAAAATTTGAGTTAAATATACAATGGTTCTAATTCATTACACAATACTACTAATATAGTATTATACAATAATACTGTTCTGGCTTACATACAAATTTGACTTAAGGACAGACC